TGTTCCCACTCTCCCTACCCCCCTGTATTCTGTGAACACCGGCACCTCTCAAGTACCGCATCAGTTCAGACTGATGYCGATGGAACAGGACACCGGGGCACTGCCACGACGCAGTGCCAGGATCGCAGTTCGTGCCCGCCCTGCGGTACCTCCAAGACCCAAGAGATTCAGCAGACGGACGACTCCAGCGGCATCAAGTACGGCATTGACAGTACAAGACACCACCGGAGATCTTCCCGCATACCCGGTCCGAGAGGCCAGCGAGCCTTAGGCTGGCTATCGTGGGCGGCTACAGGCATTTACAGACGCCGTAGCCGCCGCCGAGGCTCAGCAGGCTGCGGCAGAGGCAGAACGTCAGCGGCTGGCCAATGAGGCAGCAGCCGAAGCTCAGCGGACAGCTGAGACTGACGAAGCGGCACGAAACAGACGGAATGCCGTCAGCACGGAGTCCCTGATTGCTAGTGAGCATCAGTGGACAACGATGCTCCAAGGCATGATCTTAGTGCCTACGGAAACGCAGGCGGAGACGACACAGGCGGAGACAGAGAGAAGTAACCTGGCTACCGTGATGTTGAACGTAATGAGGGAAGTAATGTGAAACAACAAACTACTGCAGGCACACCTGCACGCGGAACGACAACAAAGACAGCAGTACCAGCAAGACCTGGCTGCTGTAACGGCCGGCGTCCGCGACGCAGCAATGCAGCAGCAGCAACAGCAACAGCTGATGAACTCTACCATCGCACACATCAACGGCATTGAGGCCAAGGCCTCAGCAGCGCCAGGCTGCACGACGGACGCGACGAAGCAAATCAACGAACGCATCGATCACGTCGTCACCATCATCGGCGACATAGGTGTTTTCAATGGACCGGACACGATCAGCAGCACGGTGGCCGCCATCAAGATGGACATCATCAAGCTACAGACGAGACCGGACGCCGCTACAAAGACGTTTAAGATGCCGCACTTCGACATCTGCAAGTTCGACGACTACAACAAGTCGGACGCTTTGACATGGTGGCAACGTTTCCTTACGGAAGCATCATGCCGCACGGTCCCGGCGAACGACATGTTGAAGGCACTTTATTTGCAACTGATTGAAGGAGCGCAGGCATGGATGAACCACCTGGTGGCCACCCATAAGTGCACCATCGTCGAACTCTACACGCACATCACATGGAAGGAGTTCGAGCAGCTATGGTTCACCCGGTTCATGGTCCGCAACGTCGTGAAGGCGGCCATGAATGAGGTGTACACATGCTCTCAGGGGAACATGCCAACTCGAGACTGGACAACGAAGTGGCAAAAGATAGTGACCAGACCAGCTTCGACTTGACGTTTCCAAATCAACGATCCGAGTTCTTCTCGCGATCATGCGCAGGATTGCGGTCGGCACTCGGTAATGAGTACGACTATACCACATTCCAGGCCATTCTGGATAGAGCGAACTTGGTCATCCAAACGGACGACAAGGCCGCTAACGAGAGACAATCCCAGCCGCACTATGTGGCTAAGCAGGCCTATCAACGTCGACACATAACAATGCCGTAATTTATGAAGAAACATACGATCTCCACGCTGCAGCAGCATCCTCGAGTGATGGAGGAATTGTAGCAGCGCTCCCGCCGAAGCGTCCCAAGAGAGTTCGGAAGAACAAGGTGACACAAGAGACAGCATCGACGGGAACTGGGCAGCAGCCATGGACGACTTACAAGATAACCAAGGATGTCTATGACCTTCGTCAAAAGTACGGATACTGCCTCTGGTGCAACGGCGTCACTCATGTGACCGCACAATGCCCCGAAAAGGGCAAGGCACGCGTACCCCGTCCAGCAAACTCG